GACAGAAGTCTTCAGAGAGAAAAGGGATTATTAATGATATTTAAATGATAACAATGGGCATTGACTGGCATCAAACGGGTGTCCTGGTTTTAAATACCTGGGTGGCGTATTGACTGTGATATCAAAGCATACTGACATCCAGTCAAATGAGCTACAGTGCTTAACAAATTTAAAGAGAGTGGATTAAACCATTACAGACACATTACAGACACATAAAAATGGTTTTGGTAATTACCAATGCTATTAATTTAATGGAGTTGTGTCATAAAACCTTTATTTGGTGGTGGTCTAAAAAAATGGCTATAGGTTCAAACATCAACTGAACTCCCACACTGCACACTCCCTCAGCATCTCTGAACAAAGCTGGTCCCACTTGCAGTTCTCGCATCAGAATATTAAAAATGTTTTAATATATGAACGTCTTTAGGATCAACCACCTCCATCAGAGTTTTTGATGCCTCTGATGACACTACAAGTCAAATAAAAAGGTTTCAGTTAATTATTATTTCTGCCACAATCAGTCTTCTTTTGTTTATGCCATCTTAATTAGTTGTACTCAGGACACCTAAGTTTATGAATGCGGTAACTCGAGAACGAGACGATGTAGGAACTTTAAATTGATACCATAGGTGCATCTACTAAAAATCTTGGATGAGTTTGAATCTCTGTGGCCTTGACCTGAAGTTCAGAGTACGTTTTCTGAAAATCTTATAACGTCAGAACAAGGTAACTTAGGATTTTGACATTTATACTGTAGGTGTGTCTGCTAGGAGGCTAAGGGGTAGTGTACAAGGCCGCTATTTCCCTTTAAACTCCTGCTCTGACCACCTGCAACATGCACGATTTCACCACAGACCTTGCGCAGAGAGCAAACTTCTACTTTTAAACTGATCCAAGTTTAATGTGTGAAATCATAAGAGAGCTGGATGTCCAAGCATGTCCAGTTTTCAAGTCTGAAGGCAGTGTGTTAAGCTAAGAGACAGAAAGGTCGAGCGATCATCATTTTTCTCAACACTGAGACAACGGGGGTGGGGATGTCTTGTTTGATGCTGTAATATTTTCCACCACAGAAAAATTAAGTCCAAGGGGGAAAAAAACAACTTAAATTTCACTGTGTTGTTCTACAGTCCTGAGTAATGGGAGAGTGCTTAGATGAGAAAAAGGTGTCTTAGAGAGAGAGAGGGTGTAATCAGATAAGCAACAGTATTCTCTCTCTATGAACACAGCAGGAATAATTGAATCTGTTTGTAAAAACGAAGTCAAGGCGGCGTGTTGGTTTCTGGCTATGATGAAGCTGGAACAAATGTAGCTCAGTTGTTATAATGTTTCAGGCTGATATTTTCTTCAAGGAGAAGTGTGCAAAAGTAAAGATTTAAGTATTTGTTAATGTCCCAAGGGCTTTGAAAGTTACTCTTTCCTGGCTCGTTATACAGGGTGGGCCATTTATATGGATACACCGTAATAAAATGGGAATGTTTGGTGATATTAAAGTCCTGTTTGTGGCACATTAGTATATGTGAGGGGACAAACTCCTCAAGATGGGTGGTGACCATGGTGGCCATTTAGAAGTCGGCCATCTTGGATACAACTTTTGTTTTTTCAATAGGAAGAGGGCCATGTGACACATCAAAGTTAATGGTAATGTCACAAGAAAAACAATGGTGTGCTTGGTTTCAATGTAACTTTATTCTTTCATGAGTTATTCACAAGTTTCTGACCACTTATAAAATGTGTCCAATGTGCTGCTCATTGTGTTGGATTGTCAATGCAACCCTCTTCTCCCACTCTTCACACACTGATAGCAACACCGCCATTCAGCTGGCCCACGACGACCAATCCACTTTCCAGGAA